TTAAGATTAGATGCTAAAATTTAAAGAGCCCATAATGATATACACTATAACATGCTGAAGGCCCCGCTGGCGTCGCCTCTAGTTGTGTAACCTTTACTTTGCCTTGTAAACAGAATGTGATGATGACCTGATTGACCTATGGATCAGTGAGACTGCCAGTGTTAACAATTAATAAAGCTTAAAAATTTGTTATTTTTCTTTCTTGCTGTTTTTAAAAAGTCATTATAATAGAATTTTTGTTTACTCCTATTACCTAGTAGATTGCTGCAGGTACTGTATGGTTTTGAATGTACCTGTCTCACTTTGGAGACCATTGACTTCAAGCACAGGCTTTGGATTTATCTTTTCATTTTTTAAGTTTCACTTTGATTTGGAATTAGGTCAGAAACCATGGCATGAACAGAAGATTCAGAAAAGATGGCAAGAACAGCCCCGTCACCCATTTTTGCCATTTAATCATAGATTGCCTTCTATTTTTTATTCTACGTGTCTCTGATGGATCTTCCCCATTAGATTTATCTCCTGATGAACAGACAACTGTCTTTTCTGCCTATAGCCTAATACTTTTACATCATAAATACACTGCAGTTCATTGCTGAATTAAATGCTCTTGATTGTGGATATTCTCTATCTTGGAGTGTATATTTTATGGTGAAAAAAGTCTTTAACACCTTAAAGGCATTACGAGAAGTACAAATTTGTACCTGTAGAATGAGTCAATTTCCCGTGACTCATTTCTGTATATAAATAATGGATTAACCTCTCCTACTGTACAAATAGAAACAGATATACACAATCCACTAGAAAAACAAGCTATGAAAAGGCAGGCCCGAAAAGAGAAACTATGAAAATCTAGTATACACAACAAAACAAAACACTGAAACTAATTAGCAAGAAGGGTTGTGCAAATGAAAAACAGGGTGCTAGTCTTTTAGGGTCTTTTCGCCAGTAAATTGACAAGGCTGTAAAAAGACTGATACCCAGTTCTGGGAAGCTGTGTAGGGAAAAGGTCATAAATACTTTGCTCTCAGGAGTGTGAATGGGGGCAGGTATTTGGTCAGTATCTTTTTTATGTTTTAAATGCCTTTTCTTTTTAAGTTAACAGTTCTATTTTGGGGAGTCAATTCTATAGAACTAGAATATACAGGGTGTTTATTGTAGGGATATTTATAAAATTGAAAGGCTGAAGTCACCCTATATCTGTAATAATAGGAGAATGGTTGAATAAATTATGTTAGCTCTATACATTACAATAGGATTCAGTTATTATCTGCAGGACACATGATATATTATTAGAGAAAAGCAAATTGAAGAATAATGTGTATATAGTGATCCCATTCTTAACTAAGTACAAGAAGAAGTGATTAAAAAAACCTGTATGTATGAATACAGTATAATGTATTTGTGTATGTGTAGATATATTTATCTATAGTCTATGTATAAAAGAGCAAGTGTAGGTATGGATGTACATAAAATAAGAAAGTTATATCAAACTTAATAGTGGTTGTCTCTGATGGTACAGTATTGGATGGAAAGAGTCCGGATTATTAACCCTTTCTTAACTTCTGTTTTGCTAAATCTTTTAAAATGTCGTGTGTATCATTTTATAATTTTAAAAATGCACTAATGCAGTTACATTTTATCTTTACAAATGCTGATTTCACTGTCAGTCTTCACTGTACTTTTTGTTTCTGGTACTTGTTGACACTGAAGAAAAGCTAAGTGTAGTTCAGGTCTTTTCTTTTAACCCTTTGTTTTCAACCCTTTGGATATGAATATAGTTGTTGTAAGGTGTAAAGAACCTAAATAATATTCTTGTTTACATTTTAACTAGTCACATGTGGTGACTGCATGTGTGGTGTGTTTGATAGTTTACCGGATAAATCAAATCTTGGCTATTCAAAAACACACCAGTGACGTGGCTCAGGGACCTATGGAGGAAGCAGTTTCTCTTGTCTCTCTTCCTGAATGTAGCTAAGGAGCCTGGATACCACAGCGATAGCAGCGTTTGAAGGCTTCCCAATGAACAGTAACAGTTAAGACTGAAGATCAGATTTCAAAAACTTCTAAACCGGTGTCTAAGTTACATTTTCCCCTCTCTGGTTTGCCCATTGTGCTGTTTTGAGCCCTGGAAGTGGGCACCAGTGCAGACAGAGCTCTCTGAGAAGCCAGTGAGCTCAGCTAAGGAGCAGGGAAGGGGTCCCTGGGCAGTGCAGCAGCAACCCCTCTGAGGGAGCCCTCTCTGAAGAGGATCTCTGATCCCAGGACATGAGTTCTTGGAAGGAATACCAAAAGCACAATCCATCTGTAAAAGAGTATATTGATAAATTGGACTTCATCAAAATTTTAAACTTCTCTGAGAAAGAGACCTTTAAGAAAAGGAAAGCTGTAGTATAGGAGAAAATGTTTGTAAATCATATGCCTCACACATGACCTATTTAGAACATACTATATAATATAAGGAACTCTCAAAATGTAACCATTAAAAAGCAAACAACTTAAAGATGGGCAAAGACTTGAATGGAAATGTCGCTGAAGAAGATACATGGATGGCAAATAAGCATCCGAAAAGATGCTCAACCTCATTAGCTGCTAGGGCTGTGCAATTTAAGGTCATGATGAGAAACACTACATATTGATTGTACTGACAGTTGGCCAAGTGGGTGGATAGTACTCTGCGCAGGCCTTTTCTGATCCCTAGCCTTTTTTCTAACTTGTATCATTTTCTGTTTACTCACACTATTAGTTATTGAGAGAAGGGCTGAAATCTCCAACTATATATAATATATTGTGAGTCTATTTCTCCTTTCAATTCTATCAGTTTTTGCTTCATGAATTTTAAAGGTCTTTTTCAGTATCTATACATTTACTATTATTATATTGTCTTAGTGAATCAGACTCCTTAATATTATGAAATACTTCTCTCTATCATTGGTAGCAGTTCTTGTGCTGATGTCTACTTTATCTTACATTAATTTCCTGTAGCCACTGCATTCCTTATGTTTCAGGTTTTTGCATGGTTTATGATGGTTAATATTATTTCATGGCATAGCCTTTCCCATTCTTTTAGTTTTAAACCATTCATGTTTTTTTATTTAAGTTGAGTTTCTCTAGACAGCATTTGTGTAGTGTTTTGTTTTTTAATCCAATGTAATAATTTCTTTGATATTTTTAAGATTATTAAGATCATTTGACATAATTATCAATATTGTTGCATATGAAGATATCATCCTATAATTTTGCTGTTTTCCTTTGTGCCTTGTTCATTGTATTTTATTTTTCTTGCCCTTTTTTGTATTATTTTTAAAAAAATCTTTAACCTTGGCTTATTATACATACCTTTTTGTTCTATTTATTTAGAAATTGCTCTTGAGATTAGCTGGTTTTGTAGCACTGACATGTAATCCCAGCACTTCTGAGGCTGAGGCATGAGGATTTTGAATTCAAGGCCAACCTAGACTATACGATTAGCAGAACACTGTCTCAGAAAACAAAAACAAAACAGAATTTGCTCTTGGGTTAACAGCGTACCTTTAACTTACCATAATTCATCTTAAAATATCATTATAGCATCTCTTACAACAATGTACCTCCATTTCCCTGTCATGGAGAAATTTTAAAAATGAGAAAAGTTCTGATGTTTACTTGCATAATTCTGGTGAGGAACCCAAAAGGTCATCATATTAGAAAGAAAAACCAAAATGCACTCAGAATTCATAGAATGGACAATTGATTTTAAACTAAGATTTTTGTGGTTTTTTTTTTTTTTTTTTACGACTAATGTTACAGAATTCCATATTGGGTTTCTGCTAAGATCTGAGCTCAGTTTTTGAGATTAGAAATAATCTTGAAACTTAAATCTAAGACTTTGTTCAAAGAAAAATATTTTAGCTTGCTCATTTGTCCCATTTCTAACAGGCTATCTGAACGTAACACTGATTGAGTTGATGGAATTGTCTTGATAGCGATTCTTTCTAAGCTCACAGCCTTACAGTCATGCATGTGTTAGACATCTACTCCGTGTATAACAAATAACCGCACTTTTACCACTTTAAAGCATCAGTTATCCCATAGATTGTCTGTCAGGAGGCCAAGTACTGCTTGGCTGGGTCCTCTGCTTAGCGTCTCACGGGCTGACATCCAGACTGAGCTGTGACTCCTTTGGGGCTCAGAGTCTGCTTCCAAGCTCGAGGCATTACTCCAGAAGTCAGTTCTTCGTGGATGGATGATCAAGCTCTCTGTTTCCTGTGATCTAGGGGCATTTCTGTCCTAGAGCCTACCCACAGTTCTTGCCATGTGACCTTCTCACAGGCCCTCTAATATCACAGCAACTTACTTTTTCAAGATCAGCCGAAGAGCCGGGTGTGGTGGCGCACATCTGTAATCCTAGGACTCCGGAGGCTCAGACAGGAGGATCACTGCGAGTTCGAGACTAGCATGGGCTATAAAGTGAGGTCAACGCCAGCCTGAACTGCATAGTGAGACCCTGTCTCAAAAAGGCACACACACACACAGGTCAGCAGAAGATTCTGCTAAGACCATCTATCCATCATGACTAGGAGAGGGATTTCCTAACCTCTGCCGTATCCCATTGACTGGAAGCAGGTCAGTACACTAGAAGCATGTTACTGGCTAGAAGCAGGAAGGCAATGCCCATACTCAAAGGGAAGGGATAAAAGCAAAGCTTGGGAGGTGGATGTTCCTAGGATGTGTCCACCAAAGCCTTCTGAGATGAGGACCGAGCAGTCGCCATACAATGTTAATGATCTTCAACTCACTGCAAGAAACAAGGTTCACTTGTGTTTTTAGATAACCTGTGTTTTATGACAAAGTATGCAGTTTGGATTTTTTTAGTGTAATCTTTTTTTGTGAACAGAATTAAGATAAAGGAAATCTTTATTACTGTAGCTACTGTTGCTTGACGGTGGGAAATACTTCATGATGTAATTGAATGACGTGAATTCCCTACCATGCTTCATTAACTTGTTCTTACCCTTCAGTGCAGGAATCACAGCCATGGCCCCCACCCTCCAGGATTTGGTCGGCACGGCATCTGTGCCCATGAAAACAGAGAGCTTGCCAAGGCAAGAGAAGTTCTTCCTCTCATAGAGGACTCTAGTAACTGTGACATTGTCAAAGCCACCCAGTAAGTGAATGCTTTGTTTTATTCCTATTTTCTGATGAGTTATAAGAATATATATAAGATATGGCACATATTCTTCATGGCACCTTCCTCAGTTCATATCGGTGGTTCAGTAATAGCAGCGTCAGAGCACCTCCCATGGTACAGTGTCCCTTAGCTGTCCGTGTACCCAGCTCTCCGATTGGAGTGTGGGCAACTGCCTAGCAAAAGCTTATCTTCATAGTCTTTGCAGCCCCAGGACTTTTATAGTTTCTTTCTTCTCCTAGACACCATTAAATATTTGTTGAATGAATAAATCGTTTAGAATGACACTAAAACTAAACTCCAAATTTTAGTTTAAGATGCACAAATATATAGATAGGATAGAAAAATAGCAGCTCACACATTTATGGATTTTTAAATTATTTATTGAGTACCTCCTCTGTTCTTGCTGTGCTGGGTACTCTGGAAGGAAGGTGATAGGTGGAACTATGTTCTCTGACTGCTTGAAATATCTAGTGGGTCTGTTTTGCTTGCACTAAAAAATCAAAATACATTTCTTAGTTTCTCCTTAGCATTGCCATATGTATTGCATTAAGTCAGTTTTTTAACAACATTTTCACATCTCATTAATTGTCAGCAGCTACCTCACCTCTTGCCGTTAAACATATTTTGAAACATTTTCTCTATGAAATTAAGTAGGAAATAGAAATGTTTTTTGGTGATTAAGTATAAATTTGACCATCAGATTTCCCACCAAAAGTTCTTTTCATGTTTAACCAACATGAAAAGAACTAGCATTACCACACTAACTTGATTTCCATCAGAAGCAAAGATGCTTGGTGATTCAATAGCCAGTGTGGCTTAAAAACTGAGTGTTTATGTTTGTTTAAAATACATTGACAATTATTTGAGTACTCTAGTGAGCAATTTATATCAACTGTAAAGTCCCTGGGAACCACTACTATTGTTTGATATTGTTTTTTGTTGTTATATGAAGACAGGGATGTTCTTGGGTCAATATCTGCTTTAATTAGAGTGGATATGCTTAAATGTTTCTGTTATCAGTAAAAATATGTAAAGATAAGTGTGAGAAATTAGGCTGTGTTCACAAGGAATCTCAGTCAAAACTCACATCTCTCAAAATTTCCTTTAGATCTTGGACCTTCACTGGTGGTTGTTGAGGACAAAAGAGAGCTGGGATCTGTATTTTCTAAACCACCAAAATCCTAATTAATATGTACTCTCATGTTTCTCACAAAAAGGGAGTGTTTCTTTTCCAGAAAGTGTTAAATTTGATGTATAAAGATGTAGAATATGAATACATGTTGTGTCATCAGAGATTTATTCTTGCCAATATTTTTGTTTAGTATTGTCAGATGTCTGCTTTTAGAAAAAAATGTCAAAAATCACACACACACACACACACACACACACACACACACACACTTTGACAAGTTATTCTAATTTAACAGTGGAAGATAGTTCCACCATTTCGTTTGATTTTTGACCTCTGAGGGCCTGTTGAAATAAGTCGCAAAGAAACTGTTAAAAGATCTGTTGGAACTTAGTTTCTGTTGAAAAGATATGTTACCAATGAGTGATTTTTTAAAAAATTTTTAAAGTATTAAAAAATATTTCTTACTCTTTGCAGTCGGTTAGTTCTGCGAGTCTCAGGCCCATCCTTCCTTTCCTACTCCCGCCCTCCGTCTCCCACTTGAGGCGCTCCTTGCTTCTCATCTGTGTCTGTTGCAGCGGCCTCTGAACTGGTCCTGCTCTCTATTCTCACCCTGGCACAAGCAGCTTCCATTACTCAGAAGAGCACTTCCTCTTTTAGACCCTTGATTGGTTTCCCATTGAGCTGTACGTAAGGTTTAAACTTCACGGCAGGGCCTAGAAGGTTCTCATGGTGTTTATGTACTTTTTATGTCTTCACATCTTGCCCTCCCCTCTCGAATGCTTTATGCTTTGGCTTACTAAATTCTATTTCTCTCCCATCCTTGCAGTATTTCACATCCCTGATTTTCCCAGTGCTAGTCTCCCTGCACCGAGTGTCCTTCCCTTCTTTTGTCAGCCTGTAAAATAGAGCTTATGTGTCACGTTTCATCTCCAGGAATGGCCCGTTGTTCCTTCCTCCGCTAGACCTGTGTCATGTCTGTATTTTGCTTTACTTCGTCCCATTCCAAATGTGCTTTTACTCTCTTCCCACATTGTGAGGTTGCTGCCGTGCTTGGCCTGACTCAGGGTAACGTTGTAGTCAGGAACCGGCACCATGTGTTTCTGGCACGTAAGTGGCAATTAAGTGAAAGTTATTGAAGGTTGGCAAATGTATTAAAGTTTAAGAAAATCAGGTTGAACTCTGAATGAACTGATTACATCAGTAAATAAAGTTTGCTTACTTTATGTCTCCTTTGTACATGTCTCTGTTAATCGTAGTCACCCCTGTGTATCTATGGGTTCTACATCTCAGATTTAACCAATCACAGTTCCACCAACCTTGGATTAAAAATACCCTGAGAAAAAATACATGCTTATATTGCATATGTATAGACTTTTGTTTTCTTGCTATTATTTCCTAAATAATATAATAGCTGTTTATATGGCATTTACAGTGTATTAGGCATTGTGAGTTATCCAGAAAGGGTGTGATTAGTTTTATAAATACTACATTTCATAGAAGGGAACTGAAAATCCATGGATTTTGGTACCCACAAGGGATCTAGGAACCAATCTCCTCTGTATATTGAGAAGGTGTATTGTATTTTATATTGTCAAAAAGATAGTTTGGATAAAGAAAATACATAATAAAAGGAAAAAAATTGGTACTGTATTGGAAATGATTGCAATGGTTTTAATGATGCCTTTCTTTTTCTCATTTGAGATACGGGATTTTTGAACGATGTAAAGAGTTGATAGAGGCAGGATATGATGTCAGACAACCAGACAAAGAAAATGTATCGCTTCTTCACTGGGCTGCTATTAACAACAGGCTGGATCTTGTAAAGTAAGATGGGATAGATGTGTGTTAATTGTATATTTATAATTCTGGACCTCTCCTTCAAGTACCAGTACTGAAGCATCTGTAATCCTCTGTTTTTAATGAACACCCGAAATCTTCTGCCCACACATCAGTTGTAGAGTTGAAGAGGACCGTAGAGATCATCCGATCCAGGATTCTCACTGGTCCAGAAAGAAAAATTAGAAGAAGCCAAAGGGTCCCATCATAAGATAAAGGTTAGGACATGAAAGTGAATCATTACGTAACAGACTTTTCAGGATAGAAGAAAGTTTTGTCTAATTTAGAAGAAACACTGAAATATGTTACACTGTAAAGTCAGGAGGAATAGACATGTAGGGAATTAAACCTTTTTTTAAAACAGTAAGTATATAATACACTTTTGGGTGGGCAAGTATCAGACTGTATAAATTATTTCTCCTTCATGAAACACTACTGCCTGCTAATTTTTTTGTTTTATACTTTAACATATAAAATGTGCGTGTGTGTGTAAGTGTATATATATTTTGTGTTACAGAATTATGTATTTAAAATCCTTGAGGCTTAAAAAAATGAAAGTTACTAATTTTTACAATATTCTAGCACACGTTATACTCACAGGCCAACTCCAGGTATATTGTGTGGGTAATATGATGCATGGAGCGTAACTGTGAAGTAATCAGATTAACTCCTCTAAAGCACGGAAGAAAACTACTTACAACAATATAGGTCCACCTTATGCAGTGCATCATGGCTCTGCTCCCAATATTTCAAATTTCTAACTTTTATGAAAGGATTTTACATTAATTTTCTATCACTTTTGGAATGTTTCCTTGGTAATTATACTTTGAACTGTTTTAGGTAATATAATTTCACGTTTCTACTTCTGAATTAAGTAAATATCTGACCCTAAATCCTTTGAATGTAAACTATTTTAATAGTGTGGTAGTTAGAATTGCCTGAGTGTTGTTAGTATGTGTTTAGTATGAGAGTTATAATAGAATGCTAATCACAGCAGGAATAATTACTTAGACGCTAAGAATGTTTCACCAGGGATTTGTCTGATACTGCTGTATAAATTTTGGAGACTTTTATAGATCTAGATGCTTTATGGAGATGATTATTATAATCTGTTTTCCAACATATCTATTACTAAGAAAAAAGCAATATTTTTTATCTCAATATGAATTTTAAGTTTTAAATCTCATCTTCATTTATGTCTGTTTTAACAGGTTTTATATTTCAAAAGGTGCTGTTGTAGATCAGTTGGGTGGAGATTTAAATTCAACTCCTCTTCACTGGGCCATCCGGTAAGGTTCCTTTAAGTGCTGAAATTAAATAACCCTACATGGTTGGAGGCCACCATATTGTAAATGACAGTTACAGGCAATTTGAAAGGCTTCTTTTGTGGGAGTTTTTTACGTTTTGTTTAAAAAGATACTAGTTTTCCAGAAAGGATGTTTGGGTCTTTAATTCGGGGCTCCATTATGAGTATCAATTTCAAATATGAGTGTTATACTTTTTTATAAATAGAATATGCAACTTTTATATTTGAACACATTAATAAATAAGTTATTTAGTGAACTATAAACTTAGGCAGTTCAGTCTTATGACAGATGCCTGTTTGGTAACTTAGACACTTACCCCATCATTCTTGGCAATGGGTCTTTTACATAATGAAGTTTTTTGTTTTTTTAATTTAAACATTCATGTATCATTCAATCATCTCCTATAGTTGTAGTTATATTTTATCTTTTTTTTTTTTTTTTTTTTTTTTTTTCACCGGGAACTGAACTCGTGACTTTGAGCTTGCCTTGCAGGCACTTTGCCGCTGAGCTAAATCCCCAGCCCTGTAGTTATATTTTAAAGAGAGAGATTCCCTCTCAAAAGTTTTAATTCTAAAGCATATCTCTGTATCTTCGAGGGTCATTGAACTTTTGAAAGCTGACACAGGATTAACAAGAAATTTTGAGTAGGCCAACTTCTTAGAACATTTATATTACTTAGTATCCTCTTTTCTCTTACGTGTTGACCTTCTGATGTTAAAGGAATAAACATGGATATTTAACAGCTTCTTCCTTTCTTTTAATTTTGCTCTCTGGTGATGAGGTTGACATGAACCTGAAACTGAAGTATGTAATTGTTTGTGTAAGACAATGAGGTGCATCTTTTCTCCATAGACAAGAGTTTTGAGGAATCTAGGGATAACTTACCACATTTAAGCTACTGAAGTACAGTGCTATCATGAAAAGGAACTATATTCTAGTAAGAGAATATATGGTTCTTATGATTACCTCAGTTTACCATGGTCTGTGAATATTATGCTTATGTGTATCTGGCTAATGATTATTTTTGTTTTGAAAATAACAACAGTGAAGTCTTAGATGTTTTAAAATTTTCATGGTTAGAATTAGTCATATACAATTACTATTTACACATGGTAACAACCTAAGGTTTCAGTTGGACTGGGAGGTTATCTGATTTATCGTTTCTCCTCAAGAAGGACCATCCATATAGCTCTACATGTAGAACACCTTTGTGCAAGACATTTATAAATCTCCAGTGTTTTAAAAATCTTACTGTGGGGCTGGGGATTTAGCTCAGCGGCAAAGCGCCTGCCTGGCAAGCGCAAGGTCGTGAGTTCGGTTCCCGGTACCGGAGAAAAACCAAAACCAAAAAAAAAAAATAAATAAATAAAATAAAAATAAAAATAAAAATAAAAATCTTACTGTTAGGAAGTGTTCATTATATCTAACAAAAAACCCTCAGGTCTTAGGAATAGTTTTTTTCCTGGAGTTTCTTTGGTTTTTCTGCATGCATTCTGTTTGTACAGAATACAGCATAATTTTTACCTTGTGTTCACAGACAGGGGCATTTACCTATGGTCATACTGTTACTCCAGCATGGTGCGGACCCCACTCTCATTGACGGAGAGGGTTTCAGCAGCATTCACCTGGCAGTATTATTTCAGCGCATGCCTATTATAGCGTATCTCATCTCAAAGGGACAGGTATGTGTTGAAATGTTCCTTGTACTCTATATAAGCTGAAGGGATTAGGAAGATTACTAGTTGTCCTCTGCCCTTCTTTTTAAAATGGAAGTTAATGGATATCCAGATGTTCAAACATTAGCCTCATGCAGTCTGGCTATTAAATATGCATTTTCAGCTTCTCTGGAGGGAAAGGGACAGGACGTTTAGCTCAGCAACATGCAATAGATGTTTCTAAAATTTGTGTGCCTATAATAGTTTGCCTTATGACCCTAGTAATTTTTAGTTTTTTTTTTTTTTATAAAAATGACTGTAAAGCCTGTGTTTTTCCTCTAGTTGAAGGTAGAAATGGTTAATGATCACTAAATTAACCCATTCATTTGCTTTTGTTAGTTGAGCTCAAAGAGTGAGTCAGGTTGAATGTATACTTACTGTTCTCAAAGTCCTTCCACGGAACAGGACTTGCCTTGAGAAGCAGAGGTTAATACAGATTATTGGCCGTGGAAGTTTCGCTGTCAGCCATACTCGCCTGGATTGTGCTTTCGGGTGACGGAGTAGTTCATGTATTAGCAGTTTCACACAAAACAGGCGTGGAAACATACCTGGCCAAATGCTGTTGGAAAGATTGCACTCTCTTTAAATAAGTGCTTTCTCTCAGATTTTACCAATTGAAGTAGAATAATTACAACCTCTGGGCTTCATTTCAGAAAGATGTATGAGGAGGAGTCCTTTCTGCTTCTCCTTGGGCTCTTTCCCAAGTTCTCTTCCTCGAAGACCCTTAAGAATCTTCAGTAAATATCTATTTTCTTTGGCTTCTTTGAAACCATTGACACCGGAAACCTAGACCTGCTTTGTAAAAGCAGCATATCCTTATGAAGATATGACTTTGTTTTCTGTCTTTATTCCAGAAAATAGAAAAGAATTTTTTATGTTTTATTATTTGAAACTTAATATACTAAGTCCCAAAATGCAAGCAGCCTCGGAAGATAGGGAGTTGCACTGAGAGAGAAATTAGGGAAACCACACCCTTCACCCTAGCTTCCAAAAAAAATGAAATATTTAAGAGTCAGTCTAACAAAGAAAGTAAAGGATCTATATGTTGAAAATTACAGTGCTCTGAAAAAGGAGATCAAAGAGGATATCAGAAAATGGAAAGATATCCCTTGCTCATGGATAGAAAGAACCAGTATAGTGAAAAAGGCCATACTCCCAAAATTGTTATACAGATTTAATGCAGTCCTGTTCAAAATACCATTAGTATACCTCAGGAACTAAAGAAAACATTAAAATTCACCTTGAACAGAAGAGGGAAAGGCAATCCTGGGCAACAAAGGCAAGACATCATAATCCCTGACTTGAAATTATACTACAAAGCTACTGCGATAAAATCAACATGGTACTGGCCATAAAACAGACCTGAGGAACAGATTAGAAGATGCGGACACAACTACAAACACACTCAGCCACTTTATTTTTGACAAAGGGGCTGAGTTCATTGGAAGGAATGTAGTCTCTTTAATAAATGGTGCTAGAAAAATTGGCTCTGTACATGCTGAAGACTAAAACTAGACCCATGTCTGTCAGCATGCACTAAAGTCAAAATGGATCAAAGATCTAAATATTAAAACAGAAACACTAAATCTACTGGAAGAGAAAGTGGGTAGAAATCTTGAAGACACAGGTATAGGTAGAGTTCATGAACAAAACCCAGACTGAACAGGAAGTACTTTAAAGAATCAACTGCTGGGATCTCCTCTTATTAAAAACCTTTTGTACAGCAGAAGAAATCACCAACAAAGTGAAAAGACAACCCATAAAGTAGGAAAAAATTTTAGCTAACTGTCTCTCAGACAAAAGACTTCTATCTAGAACATATAAAGAATTAAAGACGAAATCCAAAAGTGGACATCTGAGATGAATACACACTTTTCAGATGAAGAAATACAAATGGCAAATAAATACATGAAAAAATATTCAGCGTCATTGTTCATTCAAGAGATGCAAATTGAAACAACACTGAGATTCCATCTTACCCCAGAAAGAATGGCTGTCATCAAGAAATCAACCAATAACAAATGCTGGAGCAGCTGTGGGGAGAAAGAAACCTTTCTGCACTGTTGCTGGGAGTGTAGACTGGTACAACTACTGTGGAAATCAATGTGGAGATTGCTTAGAAAACTAGGATTAGGGGCTGGGGATTTAGCTCAGTGGCAAAGCGCCTGCCTGGCAAGCGCAAGGTTGTGAATTCGGTTCCCGGTACCGGAGAAAAACCAAAAAAACCAGAAAACTACGATTAGAGGTCCACTTAGCTATTACACTTCTGGGTATGTTCCCAAAAGAATTAAAAACATCATACCACAGCAATATAGGTGCACCATGTTTATAGCAGCACAGTTTGTAATAGCTAAATCTTGAAAATGAAACAAATGCCTATCAATTGAGGAATGGATAAAAAAGATGCCTTTTTATGCGGTGGAGTACTACTCAGCCATAAAGAAGCATAAACTTGAGCCTTTATAGGTAAATGGATGCAATTTGTGACCATACTCATAAGTGAAATAATTCAGACTCACATGTGTAAACATCATATTGTCTCCTGGGGAGTGAAGATAAATAAGGTCTGAAATGTACAGTAGATTCTGTGAAATGGGAAGAAATTGTTCAAATGCAAAAAGGAACTAGGATGGATAAAAAGGGAAAGGACAGGGAAAAGGAAAAAAAATGCAAGTCAGTTATGTTATTAGTGTCTCTTAATTCATTAAAAAGGAAGGTCTGTACTAATATTGATTGGAGAATTTTTTATGCTCATATCTTATACCCTGGGCATCTACTTTATAACAACATATAATGTATTAACTATTGTTATTCTCCTATTATTTTGTTATGAAATTTTGTTTTAACTTTTTTCCATAAAATAAAATTTTCAAAAAAGAAGATAGGGAGTTCATTACTGAAATTGTTTAGGTAGAGATTGGATGATGTTGCATAAAAAATAATAGCATGAATTTAATTTGGATATATGCTAGATGATTTTGAAGGTCTCTACATCTCTTATATATAACGGTAGCTACTAATGGTTAACTTTTTACCCTAGCTGCCTTTCTTTTAAATTACATAGTGCTTTATATCATATATTCAAGTTTTCCTTTAGAAATATTTTATTGAAATCCACCTATTTTCCACCCTACAAGCAGAACATTTGTTACTTAGGTGATATTTAAACCCTCTGTATAGATAATGGTAAGACTGACAGTGTTTGAAACATATTTCTGTTAAGAAAGAGCCTGTTGATTTTGTTGTGTTGCTGACAGTTGTGTTGCTTGCTTCTTTTTGAATAGAGTGTGAATATGACAGATGTAAATGGGCAGACGCCTCTCATGTTATCTGCTTACAAAGTAATTGGGTGAGTTTAATTGAGTTGCCTCAATTGGATTCTTGGTTCCTAATACTCATAAAAAAAAAATTCCTTACAGAACAGGCAGCGATGCCTTAGCATATGCTTGTTAACATGACTGATATTCCTCCATTTGCATTTTGAAAAGACGGCTACAAGCTTAAATGTTTTCTTAATTTCAGATCTAGATGGTAAATGTCTAAACACAACTAACATTTCAGATTTGCTGACATTATTGTTGACTGCTCTGAAGATATTGATTGTAACTGACCTATGAAAGTTCACATGCTCATATCAGACATGTATTTAAGTTTTTCTGCATACCGTATAAGCGTATGTACTTAATGACAGTCGTGAAGTAGTCCAGGGTCTGGTATTCATCTGTGCAAATGCAGGCTGCAGCTCTTGCTTTGTTGGTTTATTTCTACCTTTATACTAAGTTGCTGCTCCTTCTGTTCGATATGATTTCTGGGAACAGAGTTCATTGTAATGCTGTTTCCTTTTGTGAGAGGGGCGGGACTAAGGGTAGAATTTTGTTAGAAAGCATTTTGTCTTTGGTATTCTAAAGTCAGGTATATTTCTCTAAAGTTCTTGACAGAGTAATAAATAGAATTTTGTTTTTATTGAAAGAACCTTTTAGTCATGAATGAAGGGAAGGTATGAATGGGAAAGAACATATTTTATTACATTCTGTCCTCTAGTCCATAGCTTTCTAATATGTACAGGTATTTTAGGATGCTACAAGTTCTTTCTTGCACAAAATTATCAAAAATAGAACTTCAGGCTATGTGTATAAGGTGTATATGAATCATAAATAGATTTCATGTTTAGACTTGAGTCCTATCCCCAGAATATCTCATTGTGATATTGCAGATATTCTAAAAAAAAAAAATCCAAAATCGAAACATTTCTGGTCCCAAGTGTTTTGGATAAAGTGTACTCAACCTGTATTTGTACTTGCTTTATTTGATAATCAATTGCAGGGTGAATGTAAAGTTAGCTTTTGGATTATCAGCTGAAATATGCATTTAATTGTTAATTGGATAAATAGTATGATACTTAATGTAATCCAGAGGTAAAGCCACAATTTAAAACAAAATATTAACCAAGAGCAGTGACACAAAATAAGTTTTTTCTTAGTCTTCTGTATTAGTGTTTCAATTATGTTTATAGCACACTATCATTTAATAGGTCTTTTTTTCCTTAATCTCTCTCATTAGTTCCTAGAGTGGAATTCTTCACAAAGAAGTTCCTCAGTTCTTTGGGATACGTACTGATTAACTCATTGGTTTAGAAGATACACTGTTTATATTTACTTCTCAAATCTTCCTCCCTGTTAATGCCTCTTGGTATTTTTTTTTTTGTTTTGAGGCAGGCCAGAACCAACTGCATTTCTTTTAAAGTTTAACCCTGCTCTCAATGTTGTGGATAAAATACACCAAAATACTCCACTCCACTGGGCGATTGCATCAGGAAATGTTAATGCAGTTGATAAACTTTTGGAAGCTGGCTGTAGCTTGGCTATCCGAAATGTTAAGGTATGGTCAGGTATTTATCTCCTTTATTTTGTTTTATCTTCAGTTCGAGGGTTGATAATTTAACATACAGTTGAACTATGTAGAGTAGGAGGCTCAGTGGCAGAACACTTGCCTAGTGTGTATGAAGCACTGCAAAAAAAAAAAAAAAGGAATGTATTTGCTTTGATTTAACAATAAACAATAATCATTAGCTACCTTTAGAATAAATAGGTTGAGTCTGTGATTCTGGAGAAGACTGTCCAACAGCTATAATATATCAAAAGTCTAACTGAACTTTTGGGCTGGGGATTTAGCTCAGTGGCACAGCGCCTGCCTAGCAAGCACAAGGTCGTGAGTTCGATTCCCGGTACCGGAAAAAACCCAAAAAATAAATAAGTAACTAACTGAACTTTTTTTTAAGGGAGAAACTCCTCTGGATATGGCTCTGCACAGCAAAAATCAGCTCATTATTCACATGCTAAAAGCAGAAGCCAAAATGAGAGCCAACCAGAAGTTCCGACTTTGGAGGTGGCTGCAGAAATGCGAGGTATCGTCTTATCAGGCCTGTTCAATGGGAGATGGAATTTTGGGCTCATTTGTCTTGATTTTTAGGGGAAACCGGAGAGTTGGTTTTGTCCTGCATTATATCTGCTGATTATATTTTTCTTACGTTCTTCATGACCCAGATTTGGAAATGTAGCATCTCATTGTATATTTAGCACTTCCTCACCTAGACAGTGGCTGCAAAACTGTGTGATTTTGTGAATATTGTAATATACTCCCACATTTATTTAATGAATGCATCAAAATGCAAATGATTTTAATTCTTGGAGAAGCAAAACGAAAACACGTTTTTGCAAGATATTTTATAGAAGCCTTTTTTAAAGAAGTCTTTCCTTATTAAGTTTTTTTTCTCAAAAGGATAATAGTAACATTCAACATGTTTTCTTAGAAAGAGTTAGATTTTTAAACAATGATGCTGAAACTTCAGGCTTATTATGTCACTTCATAAAATAAAACATCTGGAATTTTGGGAAATGTAATCCAAATTTTATTCATTTTTTGAACTCAGCATTCCTCTGAAGAATGTTCTAAACTCTAAGGTGAACTGAATAATAGAAAAATTTAAGTTATAGTAGTGAATATAATTCAGATTGTCTTGGCTTGATTTCACTGTTTCTGTTGTTTTTTAATATAGAAACTTACCTAATAGAAGTTAGTAATTATACTTTCAGAGTGATTCTAAATTGACAGATAGTAGTTTTCTAAGTAGAGGGTGACTGAATACTAGACCTATTTTATATTGAGGTGTATGAAATAGGAGAGAGACTCTCCTTTGCCACCTGCTTTAGTTTGTAACCCTCTTCTTCTTGGTAAAATGCCCCAGGATTTTGTCCTTGAACCCCTATTCATTCCCTAAATGGCATCTATAAATTGACAATTCCCAAATGTATCTCTGCAGTGTAGACTTTTCCAGATTCATAAATGCAGTTACCAGCTGGACTCATCCCGTTCAGGGTCCAGTAGACATCCCTCATGTAACCAGTCCAAAACTGAACTCCTTCTGACCTGACTGCTTTCCCACGCTGCCTCAGCCTTCCCCTCCTCAGTAGGTAGCAAGTCTAGCTTTCCAGTCATCTTTGACTTTTCTCTGTCATGCCTCTCACCAAGTTCACTAGAAAGACATGGCATGTAGCCTAGTTCTGCCCGTGGTTTATAGCCAGAACCTGACCCTTCTCACCATTCTAGCCATGCTGTGTCAGCCCAGTGGATGAATTTTTGAAATTGTAAGTTGGCTGTTACCACTCATCTGCTTAAATTCCTATGATGTCTCCTCATTTTTGCCAGAATAAAAGCAAAGTCCTTACAGTGGCTTTCAGTGCTCTGGGTGGTTCGGGTTTTTATATACTGTGCCGTCAAATTCACTTAATACATTTATCTCCCCAGTTAGAATTTAAGTGCAATGAAAGAAAAAGCTTAAATTCCTCAGTGTGTCCCAAGCACTTAAAATAGTGCCTTCCATCAAATATTTCTTGAATGAAAATTAGTGTGACTCATCTAGAAGAGTGTTATATCTGGGATTTAGGGTTTTGAGGTCCTTATTTCAGTTCTGAGATTATGTTTGTAGTTTCGAGTTTACTTTTTTGTAGAAAGCTGAGCTTATTTTCTGTCACCAAACAAATAAGAATTGATATCATTTATAACTTCTCTATTCCCAGATATGCCTTAGAGAAACAAAAGTGGAAGAATTCAGGACAAAATATGTGTTTTTCCTCTTTGCTGTTGTAAAAGTCCTGCTTACTTTCAAGGCCCTCTGTCTTATGGTTAAGGGACTGCAGTATGGAGCATGGTTTCTGTCTTGGTTACTTTTCTCTCCTTGCTGAGAAAAAATATCTAACACCCAAAATTGAGGAAGGAAAGGTTTTATTTAGCTCACAGGCTGTGGAGGTTTCAGTTCATACTCAGCTGGCTCCAAGACAGGGTGGCACATGGCAGAGGGCAACAGTTCATGGTGGCAGAACAGCAAAGCAACAAGAGCAAAAGGAGGAGTGGCAGAGAAAGCAAGCCTCTTTCCCTCCCTTACATTGTAAGCAGGCTGCCCCCACCCAGGGAGCCTGTAGCACTCACATAATCTCCATGCCCTCCTCTTGCCCAGGCTCAGGATGAATACAAAGTAAGCACCCTGGCTCCCTGCTGAGTCACATAGTTAACTTTCTGAACTTCTCAAATTGATACAATGAACAACATCCCAGAAGGGTAAGGGCATGTCCTTTTCACCCCAGGATACAGAACTGCTGAGTCACTTAGCCAAACCTCTAGACTCCCCAAGTTGACACAGTGTATCAACCGTAACAGTTTCCATGCAGACACCATTAGTTCAGAGAACTTTCATTCTTTTAATTTCATCAAAAGAAACATGACTTTTTAGACTCCTGAGGATTTGATTTCCCTGGGATATTTGGCACCAGAAGCCACTCCCTGCTTGAAACTCTTTCTCTGCTTCTCTTGAAACCCCTCTTTCCCTAGTTTCTTATCCTACCTTTCTTTCTGGTGAGATCCACCTTTGTTCCTAACCTTGAAAACTTGTGTTGGCCAAGATTCTGCCTTCTCTGCACACATCTGTGGGATCACTCATGATTTTACCACGGATACTCCAATAAATCTTGTCTTTGCAGATGATAGGCTTGCTTTCTTAACTGCCTCCTGGATATCTCCTGGATGTCCTGAGGGATATAAACTCTGCATACCCCAAACCAAGCTCATATGTTTTTGCAGAATTTTTTCCTCCTAACCTTTATCGGGGGTTGGTACCATCTGCTATCCAGTTTGGAGCTCTTATATTCCCTGCGTTTGGTCTTGGGTGTATTGATTTTTGTGTAGTCCCTTTGGCTTGCCTTATGCTTTCTGATATAGAGCATCATTTGAAAGAAATTATTTTTTTTTAATTTTGGTTTTTATTAACTCTACAAAAGCCCACAGTTTCTCAGAGGGGGGAAAAAAGCAAAATGCAATATGTTTAAAGCATCATTTTATGAAATGTACAGCTTTTCAAAGATTGCTTTTAAAATATGTGAATTGCCCAGATTTCAACTTTTCAGTCTGCAGTTTTGAAGAAGAACTTAACTATGCTCTTATATTGAGTATTATAAAATAAAGAAGTTTTTGAACCCAGCTAATTATCATCACATACTTAGGTGAAAACCCATAAAATCCTAACGTTCTGAATCTCTTAACAGCTCTTCCTGCTGCTCACACTCTCTGTGATCACCATGTGGGCTGTCGGATACATACTGGACTTCAATTCAGATTCTTGGCTTTTGAAAGGATGTCTTCTAGTAACACTGTTTTCTCTGACATCTTTGTTTCCAAGGTGCGTATATTAACTTCTCAAGGTGCGTTATTGCATTTCCAATGTAATTGCTCATTTCTGTTGCTGATTAGCTGGAGTCACAGATTTTTATAGAGCTATAAATATTAACCGTATAACAACATCCACAGGGTGGGGAGAAAAGGGCTTTGGTAGCATTTTTTTAGTAGCATCATTGCTTCACCCAGTAATTTCCTCAAATTGACAACTGGTAGAAAATCAGTATCCCAGGCTGCTGAATTGTTAGTTTCTTTGAATAATGAGAAGAGTTTTATAACCATTTGGCATCTTGATGCATTTTGCCCATTTTTTTCCGAAATTCTTTGTTTCTCCTTTTTAGGATCTAAATTCATTTTGAGCTAGTTATTTTTGCTCTTAATGATTTTGTCCCCAGTACTGGAGATGGAACTCAGGGACTTCACGCCAGCCACATCCCCAGCCCTTTTAATTTTTTTTATTTTGAGACAGGGTTCACTGTGTTGCCCAGGCTGGGCTTGAGCTTGTGATCCTTCTGCTCCATTCCCCAGAATACTGAGATTACAGGTGTTCACCACTCTGTCTTGCTACTCTCAATGATTTTTAATTAAAATGACCTCATTAAAATGGGGGCGGCAGGGCCAGGCATATAGCTCAGCAGCACAGCACCTACCTGCCAAGCACAAGGCCTTGGGTTTGAATCCTGGCACCACAAACAAATAGGGGAAGGGTATGAAACAGTAAATATGGTGTGGCCCTGTTTTTAGGAAAATGCTTAGCATGATTATGTATAGCTAATATAATCAGGTTGCCTGGATTTTAACACGTGGCAGTCTGATCTTGAGCAAGCTGCTTTCCTTCCCTGCCTCAGTTTCTTCATCTGTAAAGCCAGGTACTGTGATAATTCCTGCCTTACACTTAGTACACATAACTGCTTAGGACAACAGCTGACATGGTAACCGCATCACACCCCAGACCCGCCTCTCCTTTCCTTCTCTAGGCCGGTGCAGCGGCGTCCAGTTCTCACGCAAGTGAGGGTGTCACCCTTGCTTCTTCCTTCTCTTCCCACTCCTGACCCGAGACAAGTACTTCCTCTGCTGCCCCATTGGTCCGCCTCTCTCCTTCCCCTTTCCCCGCACCCCCACGTAGCCTCCCGGCTTCTCTCCAGACTTCAGTCCTCCAGTTCACCTCCCCACCCTGCACAGTCAGGGCAGATGAGCTTCTGCCTTCTCCCTGCCTGAGCCCCTCGGGAGCCTGCCCTTGTTCTCAGAGTAAAACCCAGCCTGCGAAGTGTTTTTGTCATTTGTCTCCTCACCGCTTGCTGACTTCATCCCTCTCCCGGCTCCCCACGCTGCCCTCGCCTTCCTGCTGTTCCTTGAACACATGAAGCTCACTCCCACCCGGCGCCTCGGCTGCTGCGAGTGTCCCTGCCTGGAGTGACCTGACACTCTGTCTGTGCGCAGCTGGAGGCACCTCTCAGGCCTCAGCTCAGGTCACACCTCCCTGACTGACTGCTGCGTAGCCTGCCTCCTTATCTTCATGCACTTACTCTCCTACAGCGTAAGGCCCAGAAAAGCAAGAGATTACTCTGCCTTGGGGCACTTCCGTTCACTGAATGGAAAACAAAAGAATGTAATGATGAAAACCCATAGAAAGAATCTGAAAGGAAATAGGGTGTGATTCTGAGTATTCCTAAAGCCTTCTTTCACCCGTGGGCCTTCTCTGGAATACATATGTACACTTTTGTCATAAGGGGAAACAGAGTATTACAGGAATCTGATTGTTCAGCCACCTAACACCAGGAGACTTGGATGAAACCGAGTTCATATTTAAATGTAAAGTAGAAGCTCATGTTTCTGAAAATAGCAGTGTATCTAAAATTGCCTGCTACTCAGAAAACTTGTAACTTAAAAATACTCATTTTGAATCAAGCATGCGCTCCCATGACCCCAGCACTTGGGAGTCTGAGGCAGTAGGATTGGCAAGTTCAGGGTCGGCCTGGTGTCCGTCACAGGTGTGAGATCAGCTTGCAAGATGGTGAGCCCCACCTGTCTCAAAACAGCCACAAGAGGGGCTGGGGATTTAGCTCAGCGGCAAAAGCGCCTGCCTTGCAAGCGCAAGGTCGTGAGTTCGGTTCCTGGTACCCGAGAAAAACCAAAAAAAAAAAAAAACAGCCACAAGAATCATCTCCCACTAATTGAATTGACTTGGTTTCTAAATAAATTTTAAGCCAAATCACCAGGGATTACTTTTTTCTCAGAAAGCAAGGGTTGGCAATACCTACCCAAGTAGGACACGAGCCCTTGAGATTTTGTTTGGTTATTTTAGTGCAAACCCAAGCTATATGTGTGAAAAGTTTGCATTTTGGTTTTGAAGACAGTGAGTTACAGCTCTTGTGGTATGCTTGACGTGGACACGATTCCAACGGGAGTGAAATGCGTTTGGCCAGATCCTGGGAGTTTGCACAGACCCCGTTTGGCCTGTTCTGGCAGCCTGTGAGTCCCTGAGCTTAGACTGGTTCTTCTCAAGTGTGGTTTTGAACTCATTATGGTTGTGATGTGATGGCTTTTTATAGACCCTTCATACCTCTACCAAGCATCATGTTTTCTGGTATAAATTTTAAGATATGTACAGGTAAACTGTATTTATTCATAAAGAGATTGTATTGCATATTTGATGTGAAAGCTTTTGGCTTTTTTTTTTTAATTATAGTCTTAAGGGGCTGGGGATTTAGCTCAGCGGCAAAAGCGCCTGCCTGGCAAGCGCAAGGTCGTGAGTTCGGTTCCCGGTACCGGAGAAAAA